TTATTCTGAGGTAGGGTCTCTCACTAAGTTGCCGAGGTTGGCCTCAAATTTATGTGGGTCCTGCCTCCTGTGATTCTTTTTTTGGGGGGGTGGAGGTCCTGGGGATTGAACCCAGGGGCGCTTAACCTTCGAGCCACACCCTCAGCCCTTTTTTATATTTTATTTAGAGGCAGGGTCTCACTAAGTTGCTGAGAGCGTCCCTGAGTTGCTGAGGCTGGCTTTGAACTTGCGATCCTCCTGCCTCAGCCTCCCCAACCACTGGGATTCCAGGCCTGGGCCACTGTGCTGGCTCAACTGTGGTTCTTTGGCCCCAGAGGCCAGAGCCAACGTGGTAGCCATGGCAACAGGAGGGGCAAGGGTCAGACCAAGGGGCGCCCACTCTGTATGGAGCCTCGGGGAGTGATCCGGTTGGACCAGATGGGAGAACCAAGGCCCCACGGGAGCCGTCCTTGTAACCTCTGGGCTGAGCTCCCACAGACAGGCCAGCAGAGGGGCCCTTTAAGAGCCACACTTTGAGCAACCTTGGCCCCATCCCAAAGCCTGGGCTTTGATTTCCTTTGAGACTGGCAACAGCCCTCCGTGGCAGCGAGGGGACAGCGCGAGGCTGGGCTGAATGGAGAGCTCGGCCCCTGACCTCACCCTCAGAGGCGCCTCAGCCTGCGCTGCCTTATAAGGAAATGCCCCAAACAAACCGAGGAAGCCACCTCCGGCCCCCCACCCTGTCCCCGCCCCACTCAGAAGCTATATTTACCCAGAGGAGGCCCCAGAATAGCCTCCCACTTGTCCTCCTGCTGTGTGCGTGGGGCGGGGGTGCTGTCCCTCTTCAGTCCCTCCTCAGATCCTCCCTGGGGACTCCACCCCGGCAGTGTGTCCGTTTCCTGGTCATTCACTGTGTTTATGGCGCATCATCCAGTGGGCTCCGGGGCAGCGATCTGGCCTCGGGGTGAAGAGCAGGACAAAGTCCTGGCTTCTGCAAGCTCTCCACAATGACAGGGACTCGACTGTCACAGTCCCGTTTTCCTCCTGTCCTTTTTTGTGTGGGGGGTGGGTGGAGCGGGGACGGACACTGGGAAGTGAACTTCATCCTGAGCTATAGCCCCAGTCCTTTTATTTTTTAAATACAAGGGCCTCGCTCAGTTGCCAGGACTGGCCTTGAACTTGAGATCTTCCTGCTGCACTGCTCCGGCTTCCCAGAGCCTCCCAGGAGACCCTCCGACGGGCTCCTCCAGGCCTTGGCATGCCTCTGCTCTCTACTGCGCGTCCCCGAGGCGCTCTGTCTGGCCTCTCCTCCTCCTACGTGCTCTTTCCTGGGAGCCCCAACTCCTACCTCCAGCTTGACCTGAGCTCCAGATCCATATAGGTCCCCTCGCCCACAGCACCTCGTCTTGGAGGTCGCAACTCCCCGCCAGATTCTCCGTCTCAGCCACGGGGACCCCCTTCTCCCAGGTGCCCAGGATAACACCCTGGGAAGCTCTGCTGCCCTGTGTCCCTCCACCTCCCCGGAGGGTGCACCCAGGAGCAGACCCTACTCCCCGTCCGCATCTCCTCTCCATCCGGGCTGCTGCCCTCTGGGCCTGGACCACTGGGTGGCCTCCTTGAAGCACTGCTGCCGGCTCTAACAGATTCTCCTGCAGGAACCAGGCTTTACTTACAATGACAACCTGAGCAGGGCCCATGCCCCCCCCCCCAATCCCAGCTGTTCAGGAGGCTGAGGCAGGAGGATTTCGAGTTAAAGGCCAGCCTCAGCAAAAGCAAGGTGCTACGCAACTCAGGGAGGGTAGACCCCATCTCTAAATAAAATACAGAATAGGGCTGGGGATGTGGCTCAGTGGTGGAGCACCCCCAGTTCAATCCCCAGGACAGAAAGGAAAGAAGGAAGGAAGGAAGGGAGGGAGGGAGAGAGGGAAGAAAAAAAGCAACATTCCCCAAATGCGAACCTGGCCCTCTGGCCATGCGGCCCCTACTTAGGCTTCCCGTTTCTCTTGGGAGGAAGCCCCTGGCTCTCCTCAGTCCCCTAGGACCGCTCCCTCATGCCCCACCGACCAGCCATGCCCTTTTCTCCCTGGCCCTCAGGGGCCCCATCACTCTCGGGCCCCAGGACTTTACACATGCTGCTCCCACTGACTAGGCCCCTCGCGCCTCCTTCCTTTCCACCCACTGGCCACTTCTGCTCATCCTCCAGGCCCTCGGGGCGGCCTTCCCTGACCGCTCTCCCTCGAAATACCCCAGGCCTGGTCAGGTGAGGTTACCTGCTCTATGGTCCCCAAACCTAGGGGACTTCTCTCTTTTCAAATGTGATTTCCATGCTGGGCACACACCTGGAATCCCACCGGTTCAGAAGCCTGAGGCAGGAGGATTTCGAGTGTGAAGCCAGACTCAGCAAATTAGGGAGGTCTTCAGCAACTCAGAGAGACCCTGTCTCTAAATAAAACATTTTTTAAAAGGGCTGGGGATGTGGCTCAGTGGTTGAGCACCCCTGGGTTCAATCCCTGGTACCAAAGAAAAAAGAAAAGATTTCCTCATGGAAGACTTTGTTCAATTAGTAGGTGAGGGCCTTCAGAGCGAGGAAGCAGGTTGTTGTTTGTCCCCGGATTCCCAAGGCCTGCACGGTGCTTGGTGCATAGTAGTTGCTCAGTAAGTAGCTGCTGGAAATTACAGTCATGGGCTGGGAATATAGCTTAGTTGGTAGAATGCCTGCCTCGCATGCACAGGGCCCTGGGTTCAATCCCCAGCACCATAAATAAACAAGTAAAAACCTTAAAAATGGCAATCACTCCCATGATCACAACCTATGTCCCTGAAACTGTCCAAGCCTCATTTCTCTTGCTGCATTGACACATTCTGACTTCCAACGTGACCTTACAGATCCCCTTTAGAAAAGTCCTTCCTCTGTCTAACTTACATCCCTAACCTCTGTTTGGGATTATTAGCAGCAATGGAAAGTTTGGGTAACTCTGCAGGGGACCCTGGTACTTAAGGAGCGGGGCGGGATGGGCTCCCAGGCACAGGGAAGCGCCGCTTGGCTGGGCCTTTGTCCTCGGCACTCGCCCAAGCAGGGGTGCCCACGGGCCTGGCAAGATCAAGCACAGGGTGTGCCTGTCCCATTAGAGGGGCAGGGATGGGCCTCGTTGCCTCCTGCCAATGTCTGGCTGCCTGGTGGGATCCGATAGGGCCTTGTTAGCAGGGCACAGGAAGGAGCCAGGAGGCCTGGGTTGCCAGGAAGGGGGGCAATCCTGGGCCTCCAGGGCAGGAGAGTGGGAAGTGGGCCTGGTGCCCGAGTCGGTCTGCGTGACACAGAGGCAGACCAGCCAGTCTGCCAGGGACCTCCCGCCCGCCCCTCCTGGGCCAGAGGACCCGACTCAGGGCCAGCCGGGCGCTGACTCCCTGCTCTTTCCCCAGCCCTCAGCCCTGGGCCCGAGGAGCGGAACAGCCCACTCCCAGGCTTGGGATCATCTCCAAGGGAGGAACCTTGGTTGGCAGCCTCTGCCACCCGACCCGGGGTATTCAGAGGGGCCGCCGGGTCCTCCTTCCCCCCAGCACTGAGCACAGAGCTGGTCTATTTAGGTATCCTGACTTCAAGGCCTCGGGCTCCGCCTAATCCAGGAACTCCCGGGCCCTCCCTGGCCTGTACCAGGACCCAAAGAACTGGGAAGTGGGGGGCCGGGGGCCAAGCAGAGGCTTGGTTGTGGCTGTCGCCCACTGATAACAAAGCCCAACTATCGCACTCCCTGGCTCTGACCCTGATGGCTTTGGTCGACTCCCCCTCCTCCCCACTTTCCCTTCTCCTGCTTAGCCTGTGAGGAAAGTCCTACTGAAGATCTAAGCTGAAGATCTAAAGCTGGCTCCAGTGGCTCAGGCCTGTGATCCCAGCCACTCGGGAGGCTGAGGCAGGAGGATTGTGAGTTCAGAGCCAGCCTCAGCCACTTAGCAAAGCCCTCAGCAATTCAGCAAGACCCGGTCTCAAAGGAGGTGTGGCTCAGTGGTTAAGCACCCCTGGGTTCAACTCCCAGGCCCCGTCCCCTCCAAAAAATCTAAGAGGCTTCCCCAGCCTCTCTCCTGTTCTCCCTGCCCCAGGAGGCCACCAAAGTCATGGAGTACCCCCTGCACGGCTGAATCTGAGGTGCAGAAAGCCCTGAGCCGAGGCCACACAGCCAGGCTAACGCAGACCAGATGTCCCCCGCCTCGCCCCATTCCGACTCAGCCGGTTATCACAGGCCAGACGACTGTTTGGGTTTGGGGACAAGGGAGCTTATTATGCTGGCGGCACTGAGGGGCTGATGGGGAGGACACGCAGGGGTGGGGTGGCCCGAGACCTAATCATTGTAATCAGTGCTGCAGGCAGAGATGACAAGGGCCGGCTTCTGCAGACCCTGAGGTCACCCTGAGTGGCCTTCTGCAGGGCTGCTGCCCGCTGCCCCAGTCTGTGGGTCTGTTGGCCTAGCGTCCCCCCGAGGCCTCCCGGGAGGCAGCCGAGCCCCCACGCTGGCTTCTCCTGCTTCCTTCCCCAAATCTCCCCACTATTTCTGCTCTTGTGCCCGCCCTGAGGACCCCCTGAGTGTGGGAAGGAGGAGCACAGACTCTGTAGGTGGAGGCATGATTTTATTCAGGCAGGGGTGAGCCGGGCAGGGTGACAGTACGGCCCGGATGAGGGGTCAGGACACGGGCACACTCTTCACGCCCATGAGCCACAGGGCAGACCTCCCAGGAGGGCGAGGCTGCTGCAGCGGGTGGCGCAGGGCTGGGGAGCCCTGGTGGAGGCCACCACTGTCCCCTCCCTTGGGAGATAGCGCTGGAGGTCCCACCGGCAGGGTCTGAAGTGTTTACTCCCCAAGGCTTTGCTTTGGGGACAGGCTCCTGACACACCCCATTTCACCTTAGCCAGCCGGGCATCTCGACCCTCAGAAACCACAGACCTAGGATTGTCCATTAAGGGTGCTGCCTCTCAGCTGGGAGGGGACTTGGGGCCAATCGCCCACCACCAAGTCCCGAGTGCCACACTTCTAGTCTTCCCCCGAGGACCAGGAATCCCCCTCCCCTTCCCTTGGGGCGAACTTCAGGAACTGGCCAGGGCCCAGGTGGACAGGAGCCCCTGCCCGAGGGCTCTTCAGGGCACCCCCCTCCTCTTCCTGTAAGGGGATCTCTCTGTCCCCATCAGGGGCCTCAGGCGTCCCCTGCCCTGTGCCCTGGGACTGCTGCAGCCCATTCATCACCCTTCCATTCCCGTCTTCTGGCTCCTCCTCCAAGCTGTGGTCCTGACCGTTGACCCTGAGGGCGTCCCCTGCCCGGGGGCTCGGGTCTTCCTCCCCTCCGGGAGTCTGTAAAGGCCCTGAGACTGGGTCCTCCCTCTCCAAAGGAGCGGAGTCAGACTCCTCCTCGGAGCCCGAGGGCTCAGCACTGTCCTGGGACTCAGTCTCCGGGGCAGTCACAGAGGCCTTCAAGCCATCATCCCAGGGGACAGTGACACCCACGGTCTCAGGCTCCAGGAGGCCCCCTCTCTGAGAGCTACTCAGAGTCTGGAGGCTGCTAACAGAGGCCTCTGGCCCCCACCGACGAGCCCCCGGCCCCCTCCCCTCCTCTTCCTCCTCCTCTTCCTCTTCTCCCTCCTCCCCACCCTCCTCCTCATCTGCAAACCCATCGGACTCCCCATCCCCATCCCAGACCTCAGGCTTCAGCATCTGGGGCACCTGGCCCAGAGGTTCTGCCAGCTCCCGGGGGTCTCCAGGAAGAAGGGAAGCCTCTGTCACCAGATCCTCAAACTCCTCTGACAGGTCAGAGTCCTGGCCCTGCCCTTCCTCCTCCTCCTCCTCCTCCTCCTCCTCCTCCTCCTCCTTCTCCTCCTCCTCCTCTGAGGGTTGGGCCCCCGGGCCCTTGGAGACCAGGGCAGTGGGATCCCAGCCCTCCTTCCTGGCTTCCCCTAGCGGGGAGGGCCTCTGTTCTCCTGCCATGTCCCATCTGGGGGAGGCAGGGGATTGGAAGTAGAGGCCCAGGGGAGTGGAGTCCGGAAGGGTTTCCCCTAACTCATCCGCCTCGCTCTCTTCTCTGCTTTCCTCTCCCTCCTCCTGGGGGTCTTCAGAGATGTCTCCAGGACCTAACTCCTCCTGCTCACCCTCCACCTTTCTCAGGGCTTCAGCCCCCCCTTCCAGCCCCCAGTCAGCCCCCAGGTTCCCCTTATCCTGGGGCTGAGGCCCAGGGGCATCTTCCAGGACTGGGGTGGGCAACCAGGGTTCAGGGGGCCTGGGGCTGGGGGCCCCCAGCACTGGTGGAACATCCTCCGTTTCCTCTGAGCCCTGGGGCTGAAAGGTCCCACTTCCTGAGGTCTCAATGGGGGACACCTCCTCTGCTCCCCAGGGGACCTCCGACTCTGACCCCTCTGAGTCCTTGGAAGGCTCTAGGGGGTCTCTGCTTGTCCCAGGCAGTTTGGAGAGAGCTGCCCCCAGGACATCTGCCTCCTCTAGGTCCTTTCCAGGTGCTTCTAAGAGTTGAGCTCTCTCTGCCCCCGAACCTTCTTCCCCCAGGGGTGGCCACATCACCTCCTGTCCAGCCCGGTGCCCTGGGTCCTCCAATCCCATCACCTCCTGCTCGGGTCCCAGCTTGGCTCCTACAGCAGCCTCACCTCTGGCTGTCTCTGATCCCAAGGCGACCTCCAGGTCACCCTCTGAGGCCACACCCTCATCTGCCCTGGGGGACTCTGTCCCCTCTGGCTTTCCTGGGGAAGCTCCCAGGCCTGGGGCTCCCACCTGCTCTGGTGGCCCAGCAGCGTCCTGGAGGCCCTCGGTGTCTCCCTTGCCATGGGCTCCCTCAGCTGGGACACTCTCCTCCCCGGGCCCAGGGCTCCCTGGGCTCCCTGTGTCTCCTGTGACATTGGGCTGTGGCGCTCCTTGCTGCGCCACCTCCTCCTTCCCATCCTGCTCCCTCAGGTCCGGCTCTGCCTCGTCCTCACTTCCCACTCCAAGCCTCCCAGGGGGGGCTTCCTGGCTCAGTGCTTGGTCCCCCACAGCCCTGTCCTCCCACCTCTGCTGATTTGTGGACCAAGGCAGCTCCTGCCCTCCCTCTCCCAGCGACTTCAGTGACTCTTGAGTCTCTCCCTTCTCCAGTCTCTCTTCCTCTTCCCGATCCCTTGGACTTTCCTTCTCTGCCTCTTTTGGGAATCCCGAATTCTCTAGGTCCCACTCACCCAGAGATCTTAGTGGTTCTTGAGTCTCCTTTTCTAGGGGTCTCGGTGTCTCTTGGTTCTCTTCCACAGATGCCAGTGGTTCTTGAATTTCCTTTTCTACAGGTTTCATTGTCTCCTTATTCGTTTCTTCTAAAGACCACAGTGGCTCCTGAGTTTCTTGACATTTCAATATTTCCAGGTTCTCTTCTTCTGCAGACTCGAATGGTTCTAGATTTTTTGTTTCCAAGGACCCCACTGCCTCTCCACTTTCTTCTTTCGGTGACTTGGATAACTCTTGGTTCTCTCTTTCAAGAGACCTAACTATCTCTTGGTCTTTTCCAAGAGACTTCAGTGCCTCTGGATCCACCTTTTCTAGAGATCTCCATGTCGTCTGTTCTTCTTCCCCTAGAGCTGTCGGTGGCTGTGGAGTCTCTTTCTCTAAGTGTCTCAATGTCTCTTGGTCCTCTTCCTGAGAGGAACACTCCTGATTCTCTTTTTCTGGAGGCATTATACTCCCCTGGTCCTTTTCTAGAGAACTTTGGGGCTGTTGAGTTTCTTTTTCAAGAGGTATCACAACCTTCTGGTCCTCTTCCTCTAGAGACCACAGTGGCTCCTGAACCTCTTTTTCTAGAGGCCTCACAGTCTTCTGATCTTCTTCTTCTAGATACCTCAATGGCTCCTGGATCTCTTTTTCTAGAGGCCTCACAGTCTTCCCATCTTCTTCTTCTAGATACCTCAGTGGCTCCTGGTTCTCTTTTTCTACAGGCATCACAATCTTCTGATCCTCTTCCTCTAGAGCCTTTGGTGGTTCCTGGTTCTCTTTTCCTGGAGGTCTAAATGTCTCCTGGTTCTCATTTTCAAGAGCCCCCAGGAACTCCTGATTCTCTTTTGGTAGAGATGCCCATGATCCCTGGTCCTCTGGTTCTTCAGATCCCAGAGGCTGTTGGTTCTCCTCTTTGAGAGCTCCCAATGATTCTGATTTTTCCTCTTCTGGAGACTTCACTGATTCTTGATATTCTTTTCCTGCAAATAAAACTGTCTCTAGATTACCTTCAAGAGACATCATTAGTTCTTGGTTCTCCTTTTCTAAGGATTGCAATGTTTGTGAGTCCTCTTTTCCTATAAGTCTGGGTAGTTCAGGAGCCTCCTTTTCTAAAGGTCTCTCCAACTGCATGTCTTTGTCTTCTAAAGATTTCAGTAGCTCTGGATTTTTGTTTTCTAGATCTTTTCGTGATTCTAAGTTCTCTTCCTCTAAAGACCTCGGAGATTCTTGATCTTCCTTCTCTAGTGCCTCATGACTCTGGTTTTCCAAGGACATTTGTGGCTCTGGAATCTCAATTCCCCCAGTCTTCAGGGTTTCTTTTTCTAAAGGATCCCGATCCTGAATTTCTTTCATGTCCAAGTCTCCTTCTTCTGGCCATGTTTTCTGCTGCAAGTTTCTCACTACGTGGACCTCTATGGCTGCTTCTTTCTCTACTAGCCCCCATATTGGCCCTTCACTTTCTTCCTGGAATCTGCTGGATGCTATAGATCCACTGGCTTCTCCATCTTTAGCCTCTAAACTGGGATGATCAAGGCCAAGGGGTGGGGCCAAAGAGGACTGATTCTCAGGTGACTGGCTTGTACTGGCCTCTGGCTGCTTGCCCCCTGGCTCCTGTGGTCCTGGGCCGATGCTGGCAGGGACAGCCCCCTTGGCTTCAGCCCACACAAGCTCTGGAGCTTGTGGGCTCTCACCCTGCGGCTGGACCAAGGAGACAGGAGCATCTTGGGCTCTGGCCGCGACATTTGTAGCAGGACAGGAAGCCTGAGGTGTGGGTGGGATGGGGGTGCTGGCCAAGGCGGGGGTACGGGCCTGGAGGAACTCCTGGCTCTTTAGAAAGGCTGGTACAGGTGTCTCAAGGGCATTAGGCAAGGGAGATGGGAGGGCAGCTGGGCTAAGAACAGGAAGCAGAGGTCCCAGACGCCGGCCCTCTGGGGTCCCAGGGAAATGCAGCTCTGGCTTGGGGTCTGGAAAGGTAGAGGAGGAAGAACAGTGTCAGTATGTACTGGTCCTCCGGGGAGCCACCAGGCAGCCACCAGTCTGGCAACAGTGCAGGGGACGACAGGCTAGGCTGAGAGTATGTCCAGCGCTTTGGGGGCCAAGGAGTTTAAGGTTTAGAAAAATCTGCCTGGGTAAGAAAAGCCAAGAAGTTAGGGTCTCAGGGGGAACCTGGCCCCTTCTCTTACCGGGGAAGCTGAGGGAAGCTTTGGAACTGCCACCAGGTGTCTGTAGCCGGGAGTTCTCAGCCTCCAGGAGGGTCCTGGGGAGAGGGAGGAGAAGCTGGGTCAGCCTTCGGTCCTCAGGAGGCAGGCGGCTGGCCTTCCGAGAGGCTCGGGGCTGAGCTTTGAGCTGAGGGCTCCGGCCACTGCAGGCTCTCCCTTAGCTTTAACCACTGTCACACAAAAGCCACACACAGGGTGAAACCACAGTCGCAGACATCACACACTTGGTCACACAGAGTCACACACATATTTGGGGCACTCTGGGGACCTCAAAGATGCACAAGTAGATTCCCACACAGTCAGAGGCAGGGCCACCAGAACATCACTGGTGGCTTAACCGTCTCCCCCTCCCTCCTCCTCCCTCGGGCTCCCCCTCCCACCCAGCCCATGACCTCATCCCCGGGGGTGGGGGGCCAATTCTCATGCTAATTCCTGCCTTTGTCCACACGGCCATCTGGAGGGTCTGAGAAGGGGGGCTTCTCAGGGGAAGTGGGAATTCTCAGTCTGTTCCCATGGGATGGGCTCTCTCCTCCTCCCCTGGGGGTCCCCCAGAGCTGGCGACAGACAAAAGCAAATGAATTCAGCTCCTTCTCTGCAAATCCTTTTCATGCCTCAAAAACCAGCGGTTGCATTCCTCCAGGAGCCCAGACCCTTCCCCTCAGTGGTATGGGGGTCAAGGCCCTCATCTTGGGATCTCTAAGGGCTCTGGATCCCAAGCCCCTTCAGGAATGGAGGACATTCTGCCCAGGCCTCTGCCTCAGTGCGGCGTTGGGCTGACTGGGGAAGGGAGGACCAATCAATCATATAAATTATTATTATTACTTTTTTGTACCAGGGATTGAACCCAGGGACACTAAACCACTGAGCCACGCCCCAAGCCCCCTTTTTATATTTTGTTTAGAGACAGGGCCTCACTGAGTTGCTTAGGGCCTGGCTAAGTTGCTGAGGCTGGCTTTGAACTCCTGATCCTCCAGCCTCAGCCTCCAGAGCCACTGAGATTACAGGCGTGGGCCACGCGCTGGCTCAAACAAGTTATTCTGAGCATTCACTCTCTCCTCTTCTCCACAGATCCACTGTGGTCTCACCTCTGTTCTTCCCGAGGCAGCATGGGCTCTCTATGCTCTGTGGACGTGGGGTCCCTCTCTTCCCCACCCTTCCTATTCTGGGCCCTGGCTCCCTTCCCTTCCTGGGCTCATCTCAGAGACCCTTGCCCTTTCTGCCAGTGGACTCTTGGGGAGGTGAGCTCTATCCTAAAAGCTCATCCAGCCCTGAACTCCCACACTGTGGATGTCACTGGATCCTCAGGCAGCAGAGAGCTTGCAGAAGAGATGTGGGCTCTGCCCCAGGCAGAGTAGCCTTGCTCAGCCTCTCTGGGCAACAGAGGGGCGATGCCCTTGGGCTACAGAGAGTCAGACCCCTGATCTTCAGGCTAAAAGGTTCCTCAGACAGATGTCACCCAGTTCAGCTCTTACCTATAGTCAAGGCTGTGATCCTGGTCAGGTGACAAGTCACTATGACAACCCACACAGGCAATGAGTCCTTTCTTTTTTCTTTTGGTACCAAGATTGAACCCAGGGGTGCTTAACCACTGAGCCACATCCCCAGCCCTGTTTTGTATTTTATTAGTGACAGGGTCCCACTGAGTTACTTAGGGCCTCACTTAGTTGCTGAGGCTGGCTTTGAACTTGCGATCCTCCTGCCTCAGCCTCCCTAGGATTACAGGCACGCACCACTTTGATGGGCTGCAAGGTCTCCTCTCTGAGGCTGCCTGAGGACATTTCCCCCTGGTGCGACCACACACACACACACACATACACACACAAACACTCTCAGATGATGGGTTTCAGCCCCTTGGGGGAAGGGCCAGGATGCAGATGGCCCCTCTGCTGAGGCTGCCCCACTTGGCCCTTCACCTCTCCTTCTAGGACTTCCTGGGCACAGGAAACTTCTCTGGTCCTGAGCCCAAGGGAGCGCAGGGGGCTCAGATGGGAGATGTCCTGGTGTGGAGATGACCAGTTCAGGGTCACAAAACCCAGTAAGAGCAGAGCGGCCACCACCTACCCCTGGGCTCTTCCAGCCACAGAGTGACTGCCCTGGATGGGTGTGTATGTCTGTGTGCCTGGGCGGGGTGGGGACAATCCTTACCTGTATGTGGCCACCTCCAGGCTGAGGGACATCTTGAGGTGTGCCAGCTGCTGTCGACCCTCCAGGACCTGGGCGATCTGGCTCTGCAGACCCTGCTTCTCCTGCTCCAGGGCCTCCACAGCCAGCTGCAGAGCAAGGGGGGGGGGCAGTCAGTGGGGCGGCCGGGTCCCCCCTGCTAACTACCCAGATCTCCTACTCCCTGATTCCTCCTAGAGCAGAGCCTCCCCCCTTTCTCCCACCCCTCCTGCCAGGGAATCCCCACTGGGCCCCCCAAACAAGCCCAGGGCCCCTCTCAGCCTCTGCCATGCCTGGCTCCTCGGGAGGATGCTGATTAACTGGGAGCACATGTTGTTGAGAATTCAGCTCCCACAGGAAGGGGGAGGTGAGGGGGGAGAGGAGATGGGTTACAGAGGAGGAAAGGGGGGAAAGTGGAAGCAGAAGGAAAAACGATTAATCAAGAGCCTGGAGCCTGCAGCCTGGGAGCCCAACAGCCCGGTCCCATCACGTCTGGCTCCTCACCCCAGGCCCCGCCCCTCCACTTCCTACACGTTCTGGAATCTTTCAGAGGAGGAGTGGGGAGGTGGCCGTGGTCAGACCTCGGTCTGGCCCAGACAAGAGGCTGTTTTCTCAGCTGTTGGTCCCATCTGTGCTGTTCCAGGGGAAGCAGCTGTCCCAGGCCTCTGGAATGTGCTCCAAGGAGCTGAGAAGCCATGACATGGGAGAGGGTCTGGGGCCCTGGCTCCTCCTGCCAGGTAGAGGCTCTGAGAGGCCAGGCTAGAGACCTGGAGCTGGGGGATAAAGCGCCCAGCATCTTCTGAGTGACAAGCCTAGGGAGGGCTGCGGGGCGTCCTGGGCCTGCCTGCCTGCCTTTCAGAGGCATGCGCTCTGGAGGCCTCTACATCCCCATCCTTCCCACCCACCCCAGACGGGCTGTGAAGGTCGAGGGCCCCTGGCACCCGATGCGGGTTTTCTGAGTGGTGTCTCCTGCCTTCATCGAAGGCCACCCCTGCCTGTTGCCTTCCCCAGAAGGGACCAGGTCACAACCTCACCTGGAACTTTTCAGTGGCCCGCAGCCGCTCCTGCCAGCGGCCCTCCAGCCTCTGTTCCAGCGCCTCCCTGCGCTCCTGGAGGCCGCTGCGCTCGGTCTGGAGCTGCTGCAGCTCCAGGCGACCCTCCCGAGCGCCCTGCACGGCTCTGCCCAGCCGCTCGCGGGCCTGGCCCAGGGACGTCTCCATGTGCGCCACGCGCTCTTGGTAGCCGCGCACTGCCCCGCGCCACGCGTCGCCCAGCCGCCGGGCCAGCTCCTCCACCTCCGGGGCCGGCGCTGGGGGACCGCGGGGCCGAGCGGGGACCCGGGGGGCACAGGCAGCCTGAGCGTTCAGGCTGGCGCGTTCCTCGTCGTGCGCGGCGCGCAGGGCGTCCAGCTCGCGCTCCAGCTCCGCCGCCTGTGCGCTCAGCCAGCCCCGGGCGCACTGCTCGGCCTCGACCGCTCGCCGGCTGCGGGCTGCCTCCTCGGAGGCCCGCTCCCGTGCCAGCCGCAGCTGCTGGCATCGGCTCGCCACGCCTTCCAGCTCTTCGGCCAGGTTGTCGCGCTCCACCTCGGCCGCGTGCTTCTCCCGCCAGCGCTGGTCCACGAGGGCCCGCAGGGCCGCCAGCTCGTCGTCGGCTCGGGCCCGCCAAGATGTGTCCCCGGACTGTGCCCGGAGACCCCCGAGCTCTGCGCTGAGCAGCTCGTTCTGCTCCTCCAGCGCCTTGACCCGGGCCAGGTAGGCCTCCAGGCGTCGGTTGAGCTCCCACATCTGGAAAGATTCCTCCCCCAGGCAGCCCTCCATCCTGCTCGTCGGAACCACTCTTAGGACGTGGGGCACCAGGGAGAAGGGAGCGGCTCTCGGAGCTTTTAGGAAGAAAGAGACTTGAGGGGACAATGACAAGGCGGGGCGGGGCGGGGCGGGAGCAGCGCGAGCGACTGGGAGTCCGGGAGAGGGAGCGAGGCTATTCATACTCCCGCCAGCCGGGCGGGAAAGGGGCGGGACCCGGACTTAACCCTTTAGGGCTCAGCCCAAGATCGCCCCTGCTCCTGGGTGTCCCGGGGGGCTGGGGAGTGGAGCCATGCCCTGGGAACCCCATCCGGTGGCTTTCTTCGGGAGGAGGCTGTGCGCAAAGGTCAGAACCCCCTTCATGGCACACGATGCACAGAATTGAGGCTGCGGCAGGGGCGCCGTCTGTCACCCAGCACACCCATCACTTAGGCCCCCAAGACTCAGTTTCCCATGATCACGGGCTGCGGAAAAGACGGAGGGGGCCGTGTGTGTTTTGTAAATGGCACCTTTTGCAGGAGGCCACAGCTGGAGAGCACCGTCGGGAAAACAGAATCAATGTTGGATACCGGAGGAGCGCGCCCGTGGGGTGCGCACACCAGGACCCTGGCCTCGCTCTAACGAGACCAAGGAAAGGGACGTCCTAGGCTCCAGACCACTGACCCGTTTCACTTCCATCCTTCCTGCAACTCTCGTAGACAACCGCTGACATTCATCGACAAGGTTAGGGAGTTCTGCAGCTCTCAGGGGACGGCGCCTGTCGAGTGTCACAACTTGGGGACAGAGGGCGCCCCCTGGTGGTTTAAAAAGTCGGATCCAGAAGAGAAGCCGAGGGAGAAACCGCCTGTTTTTCCTCTGGGTGAGCAGCCCGGGCTGATCGGGCCTTGGGGATGCTCCGAACCCTGTTCTAACATTTTGGTTCCATTATCTGACTTGGTCTTTGAAGCATCCTTTTGAAGATCCTACAGTTCAAGAAGCAGAGAACTCACTAAGAATTGCCGGGAAGGCCTTCTGGAGGCGGAGGGCAGTCCCTGAGTTGGGTGGTGAGGGACTCAAAGGATTTGGGGTATTTATTTTGCTTTAGTGGCTATTGAACCCGGGGGCTTCCTACCACTGAGCCTCATTCCCAGCCCTTTTTGGTTTTTGAGACAGGGTCTTGCTAAGTAACCCAAGCTGACCTCAAATTTGTGATTCTCCTGCCTCCCGTGTTGCTGGGATTACAGGCTGTGCGGCTGCTCCAAGCCTGGGGTATGAAAGCGCTGGAGGAGGAATCTCGGGGATCATGGGACACAGGGGGATCTTTGGAGGAGGAATTTCTGCTCGTGTTGATGCTGTTTAGTTCTACCAGTTTTCATTGAGCATCTACTATGTGTCAGCACTGAAGAGATTGCAGAACTCTGCAGCAGCCCTGGAAACACACAGCGGGGCGATATGAGGAGGGGAGTTTGTTTCTGTGTCACATCCAAAGAGCAGTGGCTGTGACTTTTGCACTTTCTAGCTGAATAGCTCTGGACAGGTCATACAACTTCTCTAAGTGAGCCTGGTTACCTATTTGGTAAAAGAGATTAGAACCGCTTCACCCCCATAAGTTTGTTCTGTGAATCAAATGAGACCAGGTCTGGGGAGCTCTTTGTACCTACCCAAAGGGGACGGTTCTGCTTTGATGAAGATGAAAGCCATTCGCAGCAGCCTAGGAGTCTGGGGCAGGAGGATTGTAAGTTGGAGCCCAGTGAGACCCTGCCTCAAAATACAAATTAAAAAGGGCTGGGGATGTAGCTCAGAGGTAGAGCACTCCTGGGTTCCACTCCAGTACCGCAAAGCAAAGTTCCTTTCTTTTTTGTTTCTTTCTCTGTACCCACCTTTTGCCTCCTAATGCAGGGCCGGGGCCAGGAAATCACTCGGTTCTCGTCCTTGACTTTGCCCTCCTTTATCTCTTCTCCCTTCCTCTCCACTCCCCAGCTGGATGGACGGGGCTGGACATGTGTGGCAAAGGAATAAGGTCAGCTTAAGTCTTTTTTTTGATACCAGGGATTGAACCCAGGGGTGCTCAACCACTGAGCCACATCCCCAGCCTTTTTTAATATTTATTTTTTAGTTTTAAGTGGTCACAATATCTTTATTTTTTTATTTTTACGTGGTGCTGAAGATCGAACCCAGTGCCTCATGCACGCTAGGTGAGCGCTCTACCACTGAGCCCCAGCCTCAGCCCCACCCCATTTTTAATATTATTTAGAGACAGGGTCTCACTAAATTGCTCAGGGCCTCACTCAGTTGCTGAGGCTGGCTTTGTACTTGAGATCCTCCTGCCTCAGCCTCTGGAGCTGCTGGGATCACAGGTGTGCGCCCCCTCACCCAGCTAGTCACTATCTTTTCACAAGAAGAGAAGATATGGGTAGAAGTGAGGGAACAGGGTGGAGATCAGGGGCTAGGGACAGCCCCAACTTCCAGAGGCCCTGTACTTGTAATCCTGGGGAGTGGGAGAGGCTGAGCCCTCCCACCCTTCGCTCCTCCAGGTGCCCAGGTGGGCTTGGAGAGGGTGCCAAGACACAGAAATGTCCTTCTCCTCCATTTTCCCCTTTCCCAACTGGAGGGATGAGGGGACTGGTTTTCCTGTCTACACAGGAAGAATGTCCTCCCCTTCTCCCTCCTGGGGGCAGAGGTGGAGGGACACCATATTGGGTGGGAGAAGCATTGAACAAAGAGACCTGTCTCACTGTGGGATCTTGGACTAATCAATTCATACCTCTGAGTCCTATTCCTTCAAATAATATTTATTGGGCACCTATTAGCTTGCAGGTACACTGTAAGCACCCAATAAACGTTGGAAAGTCATCAAAGATGACTAATGTGGCGCCCCATCTCTAAGGAGCTGTAAAGTATTGTCCAAGTAGAGAGGCAACCAAGGAGGCTCAGCCATGGTTAAGGGAAGATCCTGGCCTTTGTCCTTAAGGAAGGAGACCGGGAAGGGTTTGAACCTGAATCGCAGGATAACCTTTTCAGAATGGCATCATAGAAAGATCTCTGGGAGAGAGTGGTGGCGCATGTCTGTAATCCCAGCGGCTCAGGAGGCTGAGGCAAGAGGATTGAAAGTTTGAGGCCAGCCTCAGCAACTTAGTGAGGCTGTAAGGAACCTAGTGAAACCCTGTCTCAAAATCAAAATAAAAAGGGCTGGGGGTGTGGCTCAGTGTGGAGTAGGTTGCTGAGAGGCTAAAGAAAGTGCCCAGAGACAGCATGGGACACAAATGATATATTGGGGGAAGATTCCTAGAGATCAGTGACTGCCCCAAGAGGAGTTCAGTGGTGACAGGCTGACGGCATCTCCATCCCTCTAGGTGCTTCACCAAGCAGCGCCTCTGTCCTGCGCAGAGTCTTGTTGAGTGATGGCAAGCTGGACAAGTGACATGAATCCCTTCCCCAGTGGGATTTCCTGTGTCTGGCTGCAAAGACATCATCAGCATAAGCTCGCTTAGTTTTTTTAATGTGACAGCATTCTCAGGCAGAGCTGTGCCGGGGTTCAAGCAGGAAAGTCTTTTTGCAGATAACATTAACTGGCTTAAGAGAAGCACAGAGCTTCAGGATAAGATGTACCTGGACCTCACAGATCTTTATTCTATTTATTTATATGTGGTGCTGAGGCTCGAACCCAGTGCCTCACGCATGCGAGGCAAGTGCTCTGCCACTGAGCCACAACCCCAGCCCTTGTGTCTGGACTTTTGCTGAGCATGGTGGTGGCACACGCCTGTAATCCCAGTGACTTGGGAGGCTGGGGCAGGAGGATCTTGAGTTTAAAGCCAGCCTTAGAAATTTAGTGAAACCCTAAGCAAGTCACTGAGACCCCGTCTCAAAACATTAAAATGGTTGGGGATGAGGCTCGGTGGTAAAGCCCGTGCCTGGCCTGCCTGAGTCCTTGGGTTCAATTCCCAGCACCTAAATAAGTAAATAAATTTCATTAATCAGGGAGTTTTTAAAAGGGATGAGGGCTGGGGATGTGGCTTGGAGGTTAAGTGCCCCTGGGTTCCATCCCTGGTACCAAAAGAAAAAAAGAGAGAGAGAGAATACATATTGGACTCTCCAGCCCGAGGTTGGGGTCATTGTTCCCTTAACTTGGTGGGTTTTGGGTACCAGAAAAGGGGCATTTAGGAATATGGCCTTTTCCTGTCCCCCTCTTCTTTAGGGACAGTACACTGGGAAAAGAGGGTAGGAACGTGAGCATGGTTCCGGATGCGGGAGGGGACAGTGGCTGAGGAAGACGTGCAGCCCTACCAGATGTGCAGGGCTGGGGCTCAGGCTGGGTTTGGAGTCCCAAGGATGAAGCACAGTTAGAGTGGATAAAATTAGAGTCAGGCGCAGTGGCGCTCGCCTGTAATCCCTGCGGCTCGGGAGGCTGAGGAAGGAGGATCTCAAGTTCAAAGCCAGCCTCCCCTACTGCAACTCAGCGAGAACCTCTCTTTAAATAAAATATCTAAAAGGGGCTGGGGAGGTGGCTCTGTGGATCAGCGCCCCTGGGGGGTTCAATCCCCAGTACCAAAAAATAAAAAGATTCGAGTGGATAAGGGCGACCTTGGACATGCACAAGGTGACACAGACAGAGCTTCTGGCCTGTGGTTTTGATAGGCAACCTGGAGAGAAGCAATCTGCCCCCATTCCTCGCCCAGCTCCGTTCCATCCTGCAGAGGTTGGCCATAGGGCATGGCCACCAGAGGTCGCTATTACCCCCCCCAAAAAAAAAGGTTACAGCTGGGCGTGGTGTCACCTCTGTAACCCAAAGGCTGAGACAAGAGAGTTTGCGATTTAGGTAGACCTTGTCTCAAAATAAAAAACAAAGCTGAGCATGGTGGTGCCCGCCTGTAATCCCAGTGACTTGGGAGGCCGAGGCAAGAGGATCACAAGTTCAAGGCCAGCCTCAGCAACTAAGGGAGGCTCTAAGCAATTTAGTGAGGCTCTGTCTTAATCAATCAACCCATAGGGTTGGAATGTGGCTTGGTGGTTAAGTGCTCTTGGGTTCAATCCTGGTA